TTTTAAATTATGCTGAGTTTTAATTAATTTAATAAACTGAAGAATAGTTTGATCAGCTTCACGTTTATTTTTTAATAATCTTACTACTAAAAAATGCGAGCAATCATCTAGTCCAGTCGTTCGAGATTTGACCCGTAAAAATCATACGAACAAGCTAAATTTTGCCGAGAATATCAATTTTAGGACCGTAAAAAAGATGCAAAATAGTTTACCATTTTAACCCTCGGGCTTCCCCCTTGTAGGGGATAAAAACGCAAAAAATCGATTTATCGAAAATCTGTACGCCGTAGAAAAAAATGTTTCAAATCAAAAATGTAGATGAGATATTTTTGAACAAAAATGTTTATTAACACTTTTTGCGTAGAATGAACCGTTCTCTCATAAACAACACTTGAAGCGACCGGCAATTTTGAATGTCAGTTCCGCGTGCGAAATCAATGTCAAATCAAATTTGTATCAACTCAACGGTAAAAAATCGTTAACTTTTGATCAGAGTGTCCTATCGACAAAAATCAAAATGCGTTTTAAAGGGGAAGAGTGCAGTTTTTGTATGCAATTTGCATTTTGTCGCAAATGAAGCCAGTTTCTATAAAGCTGTTCAATAAATAAACTGCGCCATTTTTGCCATTTTTTACGATTCTCGAGAGGTCAATAAAATTTATTACTTCCATTGACCGGTCGTAGTGAAATTTCCATTGATGGAGACCAGTCTTCAAAACTTTCGATTTTGATTTTTAGCAACAAATATGAGGCATTTGAGATATGACTAAAAATGCAGAATTTAAACTTTTACATTATAAATGATCGCACGTTACGGGAAACGCCTCCAAGAAGACGGTTTTGGGTGTAATTTATAGCAGAAGTTAAGTACTTTTGAAAACGTACTAGTGTAATTAAAAAGAGCACTTTTAAACGTTTTAGATCGTTTGTAATGTGAAAGTTTAAATTCAGCATTTTTAATCATTATTCTGATGCTATTTTCTTGTGCCATTTTAAAGTAATTACTATTTAAATGGGAATAATCCACAATTGAAGGTTAAAATACGTTTATTGACGTTTCAATTTCCACTTCGGAAATCATTCTCAAAATACAAACATTAGTAAATTAAACAAATTTTGTTTTTTGTGAAAAAATTCTTCTAACAATTTAATTTTATCTGACTCATTTATATTGACAATTCAGATATACATTATACATTTTAAAGTAGACAACTTTAAAATGATATTGCCAATATTGTTGAGTTGCGCTCCTGGGATGACTTTACTTATAAGATAGTTCATTTGATTACATGAAATCAACTTTAACTTGAGAATATCCGTCAGAAAAAATCATAGCATGTAAAAATGCTATGCCTTTTTTAAGAACGAGATCCTACAGCATACATAAGGAATAATACGAGGAATATAGCAATACCATACATAAAAGGATTATCAGAAAAACTTAAAAGGATAGGAAATAAATTCAACATTTCAACAACATTCAAAACAACAAACACATTGAGATCTATTTTGTCCAAAACCAAACCTAACAATGAACAAGAAAGGACAAAGAATTGCATTTATAAAATACCTTGTGAATGCGATCAGTTTTATTTAGGTGAAACATCAAGGCCATTAAATGTTAGAATATGTGAACATCATACTTACATTACAAATAGAGAATTTGACAGATCTCAAATATGTAAACTGTCATGGAATAATGAACATGGGTTCAATGGAATGATTCAAATATAGTCCTAAAAGAAACGGATGGTAAAAAGAGAAAAATCAAAGAAGCGGCTCTAATTATGCTAAATGATACCGATTGTATCGCAAATTCTTCGGCAGAATTTAGTAGGATCTGGTTACTCATATTGAAAGAGGAAGTTATTAAAAAGAAAATACCATTATTAGTAAGTGAGTAATATATGGATGATACATCATTTATGTTTTTTAAATAACAAACATAAAATCAGAATTTGGTGTTTCTTGAAAGTAAACTAAATGCACAACCAAATACTTACCATGTGGGGGTAGTAGTATGAGGTTTTTTTTCCTGTTTTCCCTCATAATTTACTATGGAATCACTAACAGGAGAATTTTACTGTCATCATGGCATGTGTTTGTCTTTTTAAAGACGAATTACGTGCTATGATTTTTTCTGACGGATATTATCAAGTTAAAGTTGATTTCATGTAATCGAATGAACTATCTTAAAAGTAAAGTTGTCCCAGGAGCGCACCTCAACAATATTGGTAATACCATTTTAAAGTCGTCTACTTTAAAATGTATAATGTATGTCTGAATTGTTAATATAAATGAGTCAGATAAAATTAAATTGTTAGAAGAATTTTTCACTAAGTAACAAAAAAACAAAATTTGTTTAATTTACTAATTTTTGTATTTTGAGAATGATTTCCGAAGTGGAAATTGAAATGTCAATAAACATATTTTAGCCTTTAATTGTGGCTTATTCCCATTTAAATAGTAATTAGTTTTTAGTCATGTTTCAAATACGTCAGATTTGTTGCCAAAACCTTATAGTGTTCGGTCAATGAAAGGGATACATTGTATTGATCTCATGAGAATCATAAAAAATAGCAAAAATCTCGCCACATTTATTTATTTAACACCTTTATAAAAACTGAATTCATTTGCGGCAAAATACAAAAATTGCATACAAAAGCTGCACTCTTTACCTTTAAAAAGCATCTTAATTTTTGTCAATAGGCCACTCGGATCAAAAGATATTGAATTTTGACCGTCAAGCTGATAGAAATTTTATTGAGCATTGATTTCGCTCACTTAACTGACATTTAAAATCGCCGATCACTTTAATCGTTGTTTCTGAGGGAACTCTCATTCTACAAAAAAATGCTAATAAACGTTTTTGTTCAAAATTATCTTAGCTACATTTTTTATTTAAACCATTTTTTTCTATGGCGTACAGATTCTTGGTAAATCGTTTTTTTCCCTGTTCCCCCTCTTCAGGAAAGCTTGGGGGTTAAAGTGGTAAACTTTTTTGCATCTTTTTAAGCGTCATAAAATTGACATTTTTGGTAAAATTCAGCTTATTCGTATGATTTTTAGAGGTTCAGTTTCATTTTCGCCCCTGACGACTGGAGTAATCTATTAATACTTGAAAGTATTTATAACCTTCAGATGTTGGTGCAGTTACTGCACCTGAAATATCTGAGTGTATTAAATGACCATATTTGTTGTGTATTTATAGCATTTATGGTTTAGGTGTACTTTTACCTTACATACAATCTTTACAAATTTCTAATCTATAAGGTAGTCCTAATATTTTTAAATTGTGTCTATTTATGTGTCCTAATCTATGATATAAATTATCATCTATAGTCTTATTTACATAACTTACTATATGATTCGTCTCGTTACAATAATTATATTTATTATTAACAAAATCTACTTTTAAACAAAATAAATTATTCAACATTTCACACTGAAATTTTGATCCGTTTTTATTTATAATGGCTTGTCTTTTACCATTAATATCGTTAACAAGTGTTACTCTAAAACCTTTGTCTAATAATTTAGATACATAAATGAGGTTATGTGATATACATTTAACAATAGGTGCTTCTATTTTAATATCTCGTCCCTGACATGTATCTTTTACTGTACCTACCTTATTTGCTACCAATACCTCACCATTCTTTGCATTTCCAATTTTAACTGTGTTCATTTGTTTTACATCCACCATGTATTCAACCATTTCTTCAATTACCATGTGTTTTGTACATCCAGAATCTAAAATGAATAGCAGTACATTGAGAGTTGCTATGTCACATGTTGCAGTTACATCACTTAATGCAATGAAAGCTAATTCATTTTGCTTGATTTGCTGTTATTGCTTACCACCTTGATTTCGTCTACCATGATGATTTGTACCACTTTGTATATATGTACTTCTTGAATGAGTGACCTCTATTCCCACTTTTAAATTGGCGACACTCTGATATCTTATGTCCTGGTTTGTGACATTTATAACAAATTATTGGCTGATTGGCTTCGAATGACATTTCATTAACATTAGCTGGTTTACCTTGTTTTCATTTAAGTTTCATTTCTTCATCTAATAGTCTGGATTTTACAAGGTCCATTTTAATACTTGTGTTCATTGTTTCTAAAGCTGTAATAACTGTTTCGTACTCTTCATTTAATGATAGTCATAAATGGCATACTTTGTCTTCTAGTTTTGAACCAGCATTTACTAAATCTCTTAAAAGGGTGTCGAACAACAGAAAGTTATCTTCTAAATCTTCTAATTTTTCATTTCATTTCAGCTTCAATGATAATAATTTACGTTTCAATGTTAATTTTGTAAATACACTTTTTCTTTCGAATATGTTTTCCAGGGTTTTAATAATTTCTTTTGTAGTTTTTGCATCCTCGACTAAATCCAAGTGTTTGTCTGTTAAAAATTGCTCTATGATGTTTTTACCTTTGGAATCTTTTAGCTTAAACTCTGCTTTCTCTTTTGCTTCACTGTTATCTTGCTTTGGTTTGTCCAATACATCTGATAATTGTCTTTCTTCTATATATTCGTCTATAGTTACTCTGAATTTCCAATTGGTAAAATTTGTAGCATTTGTCAGCTGAGGAACATTCACAATTGCATTAGCCATTTTATATTTCACACTTTTCTTTTTATTCTTTACTTTTTGTCTGTCTGGGTGCCAATAAACTGTTAGAATTTGTTGTTCCCCAGTTACAGTAATTAAGAGTTGCCTTAAAAGCTGACAGTGTTGCTACCTTGTATGCTATATTTGAAAAAAATTACTTTTTGGAACTATTAACCTTAAAATTTCGTAATTTCTAAAATAAATTCAATTTTACTTTGAAGGACGAACCTTTATGAATGAATTAATTTCATTCTTCTCTAAAAGCATGAACTTGACATTTGCTTTATACTGTCAAGTTCCGGAAATATTCTACTATGTTTTAATATAAATAAATAATTTTATTTGTCAGTAAAAACTAAACGTATGTTTTAGGGCCAAAGAAAATTTCAGAACAATCAATCAGGGTCCCAATCTAGTACTACCTACAGTTCAAACAACAACATAGAAATGAATAGGAGTGAACCAAATCAACAGCAGCAGCAGCAACAGCAACGGGTGGTTCTGGGAGTGGCCGAACGACAGCAGACTTATTTTGATTCAAACAGTGGTCACCAAGTGACGTTACAGGATCTGTCAAGCTGTAGGGGAGATCCTATGAGTATAGTAAAGAATCTACAGCAGCAGCAGCAGAGCTGTCAGGTGCAACAAAATGAGATTAAAACAGAAGCGAAGCCTCCAAAAAGGAGGAAGAGCAGTGATAAGCCGATTGCTGATATGCATCCATTACCAAGTAAGTTGCGATATACTTTGAATTGTAAGGCATTAATCTGTAAAAATATTCAATTTATTTTTTCTTTTATGATTTTTTTGGGGAAGCAGTAGTGATATTGTGATATAAGGTATAAATGTCAATTGATATTGTTATTATATGCTTTATATGCTCTAGTCATGCTTAGTTTTACTGTTTTAAGAATATATTTAATTTTATAGTTGATTGTCCCTACCCTTGACATTAGGTTTTTAAGCCATCATATTTTTCTTATGCAAGAAAATCACATTTATTTACCTTATATCTTTTTCTGTATGTTGATGTAAAAGTTCATATTTTTTCAGGTAGCATCATAATGTGACTGAAGTATTCCAGCTTACTTCTTTTTATTACATTGACTAGTTGTCTTTGTTTATTATTAATAATTTATTTGTATTATTTATTTCGTGTGTTGTGGATTACCACTTCTTTCAGAATTTTTTTTCTGGATTTTCTACTTAAAAACATCCTAGTTTTTTTTTTTGTTTACCGTTATGCTATGTTGCATCACTTCTCTCAGTTTAACACACATTTTTCGTGTATTTGCATTTTTTTATTATTGTGTGTTAAAATATTTGATCTCATCATCATCATTGGCTCCACAACCCATGGTGGGTCTTGTCCTGCTCAAGGATAAGTCTCCATTCTCTCCTATTCTTCCCCTTGGCTTTACAGTTTCGTACTCCCAACATTCTCAAATCTTCCCCCACTTGATCCTTAAATCGTGCTCTGGGTCTGCCTCTCCTTCTCACTGCATCTATTCTTTGGTTATAAATATGTTTTGGCGGCTCCATCTCATTCATTCCCTCTATGTGACCTAACCACCGCAGCCGGTTTAGTTTGATGGACCTAATAATATCAGGTTTGTCATACAGGCGGTAAAGTTCGAAATTATAGCGTCTACGCCATAATCCGTCCTCCTGTACTCCTCCATAGATAAGCCGGAGAATTCTACATTCAAAGCATCTTAAACGTTCTTCATCGCTCTTTGTCATCGTCCATGTTTCCGACGTGTAGGTGAGGATGGGCTTGATAAGAGTTCTGTATGTTTGATCTGCATATTATTTTAGGATATAGTTTTAAAAACGAATCTAATTACATTTTGAATAGCAAATGTAATTCTAGGTCGAATTCCTCCGCCTGCCCACAGTTCCGCGACGAATCAGCCTCAACAAAATGGTGCCTATTTTGACTTTGATAGATGGAATCTCCCGCCCCCTACTTCCAAATTTCTTACCACCCAATCACTACATCAGCAACATCAAGGTCTGATGGTACCGCATCCTCATGGCCATCATCCACCTCCTCCTTTACCCTATTTTGCCCCTTTCCATTTACCTCCTCATCCCACTGAATATGCATCCACCGTAGAGTTAACTCCTTTGACAAATTATAATGAACAATCACCACAGGCTTCCAATCAATACCAACCTCAACCAGAGGAACATCCTAAAGTGGTGGTGCCAAATATTGAAGAGGAACTGAATTTTCTTTCACAGGGTAAGGTTTTCCGATTTTTAGCTTCAAATTCAATATTCAAATAAAGTTAGAAATTATTTATCATTGTGAAATTTGTTGATTCACAACTAATTGAAAGTGTTATAAATTTTCTCACATATTAAAATATGAATTTAGTACAGTTTAACTGAATTAATCAAAAGTGCTTAGTAAGTTTATTTATTACTGTATTCTTATTTTAGATTCAACAAGAGTTCCAAATAATCAGCACCAGCACGTACCTCCTCAAAAACCTTCCCTGGCGATGAACTCGAATAAACCGCCAGAAAAACCAGCAGGTGCTGGTTCGGGCTTCATGAGTAGCTACCTTAAGTTTCTGCAGGGCGAAAGAGATACCTCTCCACCGCCTGCGATGCGCGGAGCCAACAGGAAACAAACGTGGCCTAGAGCTCCTATGAAGGGCATGGAAGACAAATCTCCCGACAGTAATGGTGTACCTTCCGCTTCTTCAAACCCGCCTCCACCTGTGCCTGTCACTGTACCTCCCTTGCCTACACCTGTCGCTAGACTATCGTCTCAAGGTGATCCCCAAGATGATCCGAGATACTTCCCTTTACCTAAGGAACGAAAACGCAACAGTTTTGACAGCTCGGATGACGGCTTCAGTTCTGACGATGATTTCTTTGGCAAAAAGAATAAACAGAAACCTGCTCCTACGAATACCGAGGTAACTATAGGTATTTAGTTAATGATTCGAAAAATGTTAAATATTAACGGTTCTTCTAGATACTGCTTCAAAACAAAGCCGTTGCAATAAATAAGCCGTTTTTCGATAAAAAAAACTTTATTAACCCCCTACCCAGGTATACAAAATAGTAACAAATTATCGGTATGGTGTGGTGTATAATCTGTGGATGACCAGGGGGCTAACATTATATATTTCATTTTTAGAACCCACAGAATTTTTTTCTTATCGATATTTCTTGTTATGTATATTCTAGGTGGTTCTACTTTTCTTTTAGTGGTGTAGCATACATCCGATGTATTCTATTATGAGCCACACAAGTTGTTCTGTTATACTATCCACCTCTCAATTCCGTTTCTTCCGAATAGGTTTTTTTTTTAACTATATTAGGTAGTACTATAAAAACATTGCTGATATTGAATATGTTTAACTAACACAACTAGATGGTTTGACTTATAATAATATATTTACAGTACTATCAATAAAGTAAACTCATATAAAACTTTCTTTACAACTCTTTAAATAAAACTAAAAATTAACTAAAACTGCACTAATTTTTTTTTAACTTTTAAGAATGTTTCTATAAAATCAAAGATATATTCACTACGTTTGATGACATCATTTTAAATATTACTTAAAAAAATATCAGTATGGAAATTCGCTTCTTAAAAGACAGCCTACTTATTGTTCAACTCAGAACCTTATAATTTTCAGTCAGTTAGGCAATCAGTACTGCTTGCTTTATCGTTCATAAAATTTGCCGTTGTTAAATCACCAGATGCGTTCATCGTGAATATCATAATATTTTTAACATAAAGTTTTGTGGGACAGTGACGAAATGAATAACTGATGTCTGGTCACTGATCACGGTTATCGAAGTTAGCAAGCAATGGTAGTTACCGGTGACTTCTAAATCACCGGAGGTGGAATCACGTCCCATTACTACTTTGAACCAGCGTCTGCCACGTATAATTTGGTTTTCCTTGATAAATGTTTGCAGTCAGTAGATTTTCTTGAACTATCGTCTACTTTGCAAAGAAAATGTTTATTTTGTTTCCTCTGGTGTTCCCATCTTTATTTGAACAACTCAGATGTTCTATGATATATCTGAACCTTTCTAAATTCGTCATATTTGTGCATGCGTTCGTTGATGCAATCACTACAACAATAGTAAATATTTTAGAACTTAAATGTTTTATTATACATAAAAAAAATCATCGTTACATTCTTATGTTAATAACCCTAAGTGATTGAAGCAAAAAAAAACTCTTAACAAACTAATGCTGTATATTTTTATTTATAGAGTTTACATGTTTTTTATTCTTTTCTATATTTGTGGTCGCTGTGTTTATTCGAAGGAGTTTTGTACAGTTTAGAAGTATATGTTGGAGATTTTCTTTTAAAAGCATCATCATTCTTCCAAAGAGTAATATTATGTAAAAAGAGCAAATAGACGGAATCTTATGTTATTAGTATTTAGAAAACATATAAACATGACATGAAAAACAAAATAAACATTTATTTTTAGTTATACAAATAGAATAAATATATAATAGTTAAACTCTAAAGAATTATTGGATCAATCTAAACATACTAAAACACTGATACATAAACTGACCCTGTCCACTTTTAAGTAAGTTTTCATCATTATTAATGGCATATAAAAGATAAAAAATAATCTCTTTCGAAATTATTTAGTATATATTTTCAGTTTTAAGTTATCATTTGAATAATATACCTTTATACGAAATAAAAAGTTGATTCAATATGATTTTATTCTAGGTTAAAGACAAAGAAAAAGAAAAGGAAAAAGAAAAAAAGAAAGAAGAAAAAGAAAAGACAAAAATACACAAACCTCATTCTGACAAACCTAAAAAACCGAAAACAGACAAACCTCCCAAACCTGAAAAAGAGAAAAAGCATAAAGATAAAAAGGATAAGGATAAGAAAAGAGATAAAGACTCTTTAGAAGATGTGCCGCGAAGAGAATCGACGAAACGCGCAGCAAAGAAAAAGAACAATTTAGCGGAAGTTGGGAAAGACGACGAGCCCGAAGAACCTCCAGAGTTCCAGGATTCTGATTCGGATCCAGCGTGGACTCCAGCCGCTAATAATGATGAAGAGGAAGCGGTAGTCGTTAAAAAGAACAGACGAGGGAGACCATGTAAGTTTTTTTTTTAATTGGAACATCTCTTGTTTACATTATACTTTGATGTACCGACGAACATCCGATCCACGCAAGTCCCTGGTTTGTGGTGGTTCTCGCTTTGAACATATAGTTATGACTATTTGGAGAGTCATCACTTCTGTTTTTATTTTCTCCATCTTTCGTTAGAAAACTGGAACTCAATTGTTTTACACATTTTGTTCTCAGTCATCTAGCCTTTCATGGAATTTGAAAAACTGATTGAAGTGACAAAACTCGATAAATTGAACAGTAATTTGATGGAAAACACAAAGGTCATTTTTGGCCCTCTTCCCCTTCCCCTTAATTACCTTTTCTATCAGTACATCAATAACAAGATTGAACAGGTAAGGACTCAGTTGAGATCTTTGATACAAACCAACTGTGACTGCAAAACTTTTGATCAATCCGACACAAGTTTTTCTTTGGTATATGCTCCCTCATACATATCCTACACGAGCCTTACATACTTTTCAGAAACCAATTTCTCTCCCATGGATCTTCATAGTTCTTATCTAGGAACTGTGTCGTATGCCTTCTCAAGATCTATAAATACCAAATATAGCTCTCTTTTCTTCTACCAGTATTTTCTCTTAATCGTCTCACAGCAAACAAGCCATGCATTGTCCTCCTTCCTTGCATAAATCCAAATTGTTCTATCAATTTCTCCCAAATTTTCATTGGGTGTGACATTAACTTTATCCCTATATAGTTATTACAGTCCTGAATGTCCCCTTTATCTTTATACAGTGGCACCAGCACACTCCCTCCCTCCATGTATAGTGCATCCTTTCTTCCTCATCATCAACCTCTTCCTCTCTTAGAGCTCTCCAAACCTCCACAGGTTTTCCATCAGGTTCTACTACCTTACCAGTCTTCATCCTATCCACAGCCTCGGCAACCTCACCTCTCTTTATCACTGATATTACATTCTCATTGTGGGTCCCGCATCTTCTGCCTCTTCTCTGGTGTTCTTTATTTGGCAACTTTCTAAAGTTCTCACACTTTCTTTGCTTGATTTCAGCATTGGATCTTAACACTCTTCCATCCACACTGTTAATCTGCCGCACGTAAGTCGAGTCCTTTGATGACTTTCTCATGCTTTATATATTGATATAATACATACATGCATTCCTTCATATTTAAATATATATATATATTTATTTTATTTATCTAGTGGGCAGCAAATCTAAGAAAACACTCAAAAATTTAATATCAGCGGCAGCTCAGGGAGCTGGTATTAGCGACGGCGATGATTATAGTAGTGATCATTCTCACAAAAAGAAACTCCACAAAATCAAACAGCCGCAACAACCTCAGCAAAATATGGCGCCAACGTTGGAAGACAATATCGCCGCTTCATTACAAAACAGTATTCCGTCAGCAAATGATGATGAGCCGTTTAAGGTTAGTATTCCATATGTTTATCTAAAATTCCATATGCGAAATATAAAATCAACAGTTATATACAAAAGTTACATATTAATTGTTTACGATTGAATAAATCAAGATGTTCCTTTTTTGACACTTTGGCATGTTCCATTTAGGGATTTTTTTGACTTAGTACAAGTGCTATCCTGCTACGACGTTAATAAAAAATAGGCATATATATATATATATATATATATATATATAATATATATAATATATATATATATATATATGATTTTTAAAAGAAATAACGTGATACATTTGATTATCGTTCTAATTCTGCTGATATGATTTGCGCGTAATTGAATTATAATTTTGTTGTCGAAATGGCTAGTAACTTTTTTATAGTAAATCCTGTTTATAAAGCACAGCGACATGTCAAAAGTGAGAACAGAAATACAGTTGAACATCCTGGTCTTATACGATAGTACAATTAATGAACGGGTGGTGTTGGATCTTTTGAGATCATTTTGCCTTCATTTTGTCGTCCACATTTGGATTTCTTTTCTGATGGCTATGTGTCAAACTAAACACAACAGCCAAGGAATTAATAGTTATTGAGTTGATATCATGTATGGTTATTTAAAATAATCTAAACTAAATTTTGTGGTGGTGTAAAAAATTTATATTGACATTGTAAATCAAAAGTTTCCTTAGTAGATTAAAAATGGTATTTGTCAAGGAGTATTTATTTATATATAAATTAGCAGTTGTACATGGGAAATACATACTTAATAAATTGTTTCTTATAACTGTTATCAACATAATGAATAAATTTTTGTGACAATTTTTTACTCCCATTACAAAGGTGTAATGGGAGTTGAAGAAGAAAGGGATAGATCTTACCTTCTTACTTTAAAACAATAATTAGAGAAGTTTAATTATTTAAGTATAGCAGCATTCTTCAATGAATTAGTCTTTTGTGACCAAATGGAATTTTGTATGAAAATATGTTAGCAGTAGTCACAGATGTTGCAAGTTTTGGTGTAAACCTATGAGTGATTTGCAGGTACTGTATGCTAGAATGATACATGTTATTTATTTGGCTCTTGGTCTCCATCGTGTGGTGGAACAGGTTAGAATTTTATATTAACAAGTGAATGCACTAATTTCATCAAAAAAGTTCCATTATCTTCAACCCCAGTTGTTACTAGATGGGGTAACAAATTAATCTTTTAAGGAAACTTACACAGCATATTATTTTTTCTTAATTACTTATGTCTAAATGTCCACTTAAATGTCGATTTTTTATTTATGCAGTCAAATAAATTGAGAGAGAAACAACATCAGGTAATTGTCTATAACTATATATTCTCTTGTTGACAATCGTTAACAAAACTAACGTTGACTATTTTTACAGGCCGGAGATTTCGTAGTAATTAAGGCTGAACTGAACGAAGAATGGCCAGCCATATGGAGGGTTGATGGCAAAACTCTTCTTCAAAAATATGAACCGTTCGAACAAAACGGTGTTACTTTATATAGGAATATATCGACGGTAAGTTGAATTTATACAAAAATATCTTATATATTAGGAATTGTAAATCTGTTAATACAATTACTGTACCTCCAACTTGTTAAGCCAGTAACATAGCCACTGAGATACAGCCGCCACCAGTAGACAACTAAATAGTAGTAACTTAGTTAGAATACAAAAACTTTACAATATTGACATACATATATGAAACATGCACCATCTCTAAAGCAGATTAAAACCTTTTAATCACCTTTGAACGATCGGTCCTGAGCAGCATCTATGAAAGTGGTATCTAGAGTAGGAGGTATAACTATGAAATACAAACACGTATTTCTGGTGAAGACTTGATATCTTTTATAAAAATAAGAAGACTGACAGTGGTATTCATAGTTGTTCGCCAGGAAGAGTCGCCGGCGGTTTCTTCAGTTAGCGAACTCTCCATCGAGATTTCATCCCCTGTTTCATAGTAAATCTTCGGATAACCGCTAGTGGGCGATCGGTTACTTACTACTCGATATGAAAACGTAGACGTATTGTCATAAAATCCACGGCTTCTCGCAATCGTACTTGTGAACTAGTCGACTGGAGTTACAATTTGCCAAATTTAAATGTAATCGTTTCTACTCATTCATATAAATATTATAATGTATAATATATTAAAGTTTTTAATATTGGTAATATTATTAAAGCTTTTAATATTGTTTTTTAACATTAATAATAATATTAAGTAATTAAATACTGCGCCTTGCTTAAAAAAAGTACGAGATAAATAACTCGTTTTTTTTTTAATGAAATTGCAATTTTCTTGCAAATGCTTGGTTTTTTTTTATAAGATAATACAAATTGTATGAAGAGTAGCTAAGCGTTGGATAGTCAGTGGCGAATCTACGAGGAGGAAAAAAGTATCTTCTTTTTTTTGCCAATACTTTGACTGAACATAAAACCAAGAGAGGATGGAATGTTGTCAGACCATTAATATTATTGAATTATAACCAGTACGTGACAAAAAACGATGTAGAACATGTTGTATGGATAAAATTTGAAAAAACATAATTTACGAGTATGCTGATTGTGACAAAAAAACCTGGACTATGCATAGGATATTGTTTTCGCAAATACCATTCAACCAACAGATAGATTGCATCCAGTATATTAGTTTAAATAAAAATTTTATTTTCTAAAGACCTTTTAATTGTTAGCTGATGAAGCTAGGATGCTGGTTGAAAAAGCCAATTTGGAAAAATAGAATTAGAAAAAAAATTATCTTCCAAAAGAGTCGATTAATTATGTGTGTTTTTTCATTTTTTTATTAGTTTAATTTCGGTAAGGCTATTATTATTTTACTTATATTTATATGTGTAAGGTATTATTACTTGTAATTACATTTACAGTTTATTATTACTCTTATTTACATTTACGTACATACATTTATTTTTCTTGATTTGTTTTTTATTTATTGATATGGGAAAGTGATAGGTTTTTAAGGAATTTTGAGTAGTATTGAGCAGGAAAATTTGAAATTTTAAAAAGGGAGAATTGTAGATATTTATTTATTACTTCAACACGGCTAAGTGAAAGAGCGCCAAACGGTGTAACATAAAATTGAAATCAATTAAAATGTTGTTCAATAAGTCTTCTTCGTACAATATGTCCAATATTTTGAGCTTGATTCGGTATGTGAGGTTCATTATCATCCAGTTCTTCTTCCACATTATCTTGTTCATCATTTACATCATTCACTTTGATCCCAATATTGTGAAGAACTGCACATGCCACAATTATTTCTGGAACTCTTTCCAATTTATTATTTAAACCCTGACTCAAACAACAAAAACTTTATTTCCACAATCCAAACAATCTCTCAATGGTATTTCTTGTTCTAATATGAGATCTGTTATATCTTACTTCTTGTTCAATTCCAGGATTTAAAAGAGGCGTCATTAAATACGGTAAACAAGCATAGCCACTATCTACAAGAAGAAATCCTGTTAAACTGCCATTCTCGAAACGGTGTTTCACTGAACTATTATTGAAGATCATCGAATCATGTTCTCTTCCAGGCCAACGAGCTACAACATCGAAAATTTCCTAAATTGGGTCCACCCACTACTTGAACGTTTATTGAAAAATATCTTTTCCTGTTTCTATATACCTCGGCCATATTCCCTCCAGGACTTTTTATTGGTATGTGGGTACAGTCTATACACCCTGTTACTTTGGGAAAATTGGCAATATCGTAAAACAGCCTTTGGTTCTTTCTCTGGTTTTCGAGACCTTCAGGAAATTTTATATATATATATATATATATATATATGGGTAATAGCTGAGCAAGTAGGCGGGAAATTTTAAAAATGCATCTCGAAACCGTGGGTTGTGAAAATCCTCTAAGATCTCCAGTTACAATCTAAAAATTCAATTAAAATTAACTATACTACGATCTTCCATATATAATATTAAAAAATATATACATATATCATGTTCTGAAAATATCTATACCTTTTTCTAAATTCATTATCATTATAAAAGTGTAATGGATTTTGCATGTCCCTTTTATATCTTCTGGGTACTTGTAATATATCATTTTGTTCATTTATTTCTCGTATAACTACATAATATTGATGTAAATCGTCCATTGCAAGCGTATTTCAAATTGACGGGCGAATCGCCAGAGCATGCATAAACCTTCTCTGGCGAAACTTCAAAAATATCTAAACAGGGCATGCGTCATTCGAGTGTGAGATCACTGTGAAAGCGACTGGCGCGTATCCAGCGAAATGCCAGCGACTGTTCGGAGAAAGATGCTTTACGCTTGCGTCAACCAGGCTGTAGGTCGACTATGAAACACAGATATGGTGGTGAACAGCCAGCGACGCGCTGGAGACCGACTATGAATACGAGTGTGAGTATCCTTATGTCTGGGGAAAGGAGATGTAGAGGTAGGCCAAAACTTGGATGAAAGGATGGTTTGGATGATGAAAGGAAAAATTGTGAGACACACTGGCAACGGTTGTGAATGGGTAAAATTGCGAAAAAGACTTGGGAAGATCAAGTCTTTCATTAGGACTTTATTTTTGATGGCAATGACTTGTTCAAGAACTTCTTATTGGGGTGCTCTCTCCGTTTCGCACGTTAGTAATCATCAATGTAATACAGATTTTATTTGTGACAGTTCAAAATGATTCAGTTTGCGTTGTTCCAAATTATAAATTTGATGACTTGGTGCATAAACTTTTTTTTATAAGCATATGGTCAATATAAAAATCTTTTGCAGTATACATCTTGGACGCCAGAAAGCAAAAAGCAATATATGGTAGTTCCAGTGAAGTTAATATCGACGGGCCAGCTAGAAGTTATTGTAGAGTTTTTGAAACATGAGATGAATATAGTTGATTTTGAATATCAAGATCAATGCATGAAGCAATTCGAATCTTACCAAGACAATTTTGAGGTGTATATCCAGACATTGATTTCTCAGGCATTGGATAGTAATTTCCTGATGGAAATTTTCCATGAAAAGGGTAAGTTAATTATATCTTGCTTTAGTAATATGTAATAGAAGTTAACAAAGTAAAGTGTAATAAAAACCATATATTTATTTTATTTGATACTTTCTAAACTATTTTTCACCATTATTTACTTGCCTCCGAATCGCGATTCGCGATAAGAAAAGAGTCAAAGTTTTCCATAATGTATAATAATTCAATATTAGCAACGCAACGTGATAACATAATTGATTTCACTTTGCTCATTTTAACAATTAGTAAACATTTTATAAGAAATGACTTTTTTTATTTTATTTAAGATATTTGTTTTCGTGCTGTTTATAAAAAGTTTATTTTGTGTAGACGATTACTTCCTTTCGAATGTTCAAACGATCGACGATATCACGGATAGCAAAAAGCAGAAATTCTTCAATCTCTTAAGGTGGCCCGCCAATGTTCAAGCAGCTATCTGTACGTGGCCATGTTACAACGTTCTTCGCGAAGTGTCGATGTCGGATTCCCAGTCGAAGTCTTGCGCAGCGTGCAACAGAATCGGGGTTTCAGTGAGGGTCTTGATGTACGGCCAGCCATACAATTCAACGACACTGGAGGGCTGTCCGCCCGATCCTAATGCCATAAATGAGAAGGTGAGTTGTTATCAATGTATATATTGATTAGAAATAGGAAATACACAAATTTTAAAATATTTTTCCAGAATATTTTTTGAGTTGTCATAGAAACTGAGTGTGCTTTTTTAGGGTTTGGTTTCTTTTGTAGTTCTTTATAAGGTATTTCTTCTTGACTCTTTTGTTTGTTTTATATGGAAGACTATACGGCCTTGGCGACAGCAGTGGGCTTGAGAAAGCGAAGTTGTCACACTTACCCCAATGTATATTACCTATCTCCAACTTTTTAATATATTCTAGCCGTACTTTACGATATTTATAAAAAAATGGTACCACTTTATGAGATGTGGGACCTGATAGAATATGAATATCTAGATAGAAGATAGAATAGTTTTCAACTATCCACCCCTCTACGCATATAGAAAGATACCCAGCTGGCGGATTAATTGCTAGCGAATAGATTCTTCCAAACCATCAGCTGCATTGATTACAATTTAATTTTAATCTACTTATTTTCGAAGATTTCGCCCTTTTCTGTGGATAATTTTATATTTTTGTTATACTTTTCTCTTTTTTTGGTTTGTCCACATCGATTTTGTTAAAGTTTTGTTTCAATTTCCATTATGTTTAAGTTTGAAATACAATATGTATGTGATAATGTATTTCCAAGTGAACTTTTCACCAAATAAAACTCAAAATAATGTTCTAGTTTTTTGACATCTTTGTATCATTTTTTTATTCTTCTATATCAATTTTTTTTACATATTTCCTTCAATGATAAGTTTAAGCTTCGATATAATATTATTTCAAAATAGTTTTTTTTTTTCAAATAAAACTCAAAATAATTTTAACTTAATATTTTTGAAATATTGTATCATTTTCGAGTTTCCAATGTCCCCAAATTTAAATTGGAAAATTATCTGTGGATAATGACATATTGACATCGTTTTTCAGTCTTTCTTATCGATTTTGTTAAATCCCTCCCAACTGTCAAAACAAAGTCACCACACTCTTCCTTGTATTCTGTTTTTTTAGTCACTAAAAACAGTAGTTTAGCCCTGTGTTCTTAAAAGTAAGTCTGTACTAAAAATGAAAATCGGGAATCTCTATTTAGCTTTTAATAAATTTCAGTTAAAATCCTTAAGTGTTATCCTTCTAATAAACCCTTACAAAGGTACGTTAGAACATATTTGTAATGTGTGACTGAGAATAAAGACCATAGCGATATAATACAAATAGGCTAACTGTTGCAATACAGGCTCGTTCCCCTAGTGCGACAGAAGAACTAACGCAAAGCAATCCTTGCACATCTTTCAAATGGACCGGATTTATCTATCACGTGACCTAAATAACCAATAGAAAGGTCACATGGTCAAACTGGATCTATTAGAAAGAGATGCAGGGACTGCTTTGCGTCAGCTTTATCTGTCTTGTATTATATGTCTGTGCGTGTGAGATAATACTAGGAGATTATATGTCTATGGCTGTCGCTATCAAAACATGACCTAACAACAATTTTTAGTCATTACCTCCACAGCCCATTCATTGTGGGTCTTGACTGTTCTAGGACCACACTCCTTTCTTTCCTATTCTTCGCCTTCTCTAGTTTTGTACTCTCAATACTCTTGTTAAAGTTTCCAAACGAATGGAATAAGTTAAAACTGGTTCTCCACTTGGTCATTAAATCATGCTCTGGACTCGTCTATCTTTTGTTCTCAATCTTTTCTTGTAAATGCGTTTTGAAGGCTCCAACTCGTTCATTCGCTGTATATGGTCTTTTCACCACAGCCTATTTATTTTGTCTAACTTAATTGCCCCTTATTCTTATTTCTTTCAATTATTGGTTAAATGTCTACAATTTCAATTATATTTAACAATAAATTTATATTTTTGTTATAATTATGCAAAAAAAATATTTCCAGAGAAAAACAATATATTTTGTTTTATTTTTTAAATAAAAATTATATAGAAGGTTCGCTGGATCTTTGCACAAACGTCATCTTTCTTATTTGTAGGAATTAAATCAAAAGCCATCAAAGTCAAAAACGTAGAATATAAGAATTATAATATGTATGTTGAATAATCAATTCTAAATTTAAAATTATAGCATAATTCTTAATGATTGAAAGCTCTACCCTCATTATAAATATACCTATTCAAAAAGAGAATTATTAAGTTTAATTTTACAAGTGATTACTAAAATTTTAATGCCAAACAAAGCAAACATATGATTTTCTGATATACTTCCCTGTTTGAGCTCGTAATACAATAGGGTAATTAAAGTTTACTGTTTAAAACGCATAGGTACTAAAAGTAAATATAATTGTTGTGCAAATATCTAACGGACAGACTATAGACATGTTTATTAATTTTTAACTTGTTCTAGGACTTCTTAATGTGTAGATTATGTGTAACCCAAGTGGAACTTTTGAACAAAGTGACTCATCAAAAGTATCTTATGTATATAGAATGTGCAAAACGTGTTAGTGAAAAACGGACTAATGATGCGACTAAAGATACTACATGTATATTAAACGAGCTACTGGCTGACGAGTCTTGGCTGAATCAGGTAAGTTTATATGTATAAATATTATATTTATTCAAGCAAATAAAATGTTTCAACTCGGAATATTGTTGTACTCCTACAATGATCCCTGTGATGGGTCATTGATGATGATCTGACATGGTGTAAACTCCAATTTTAAGACATTTATGTAAAAATTGTCAAATCGGTATGATATATCATATAAGTATAACGGGTTGCCTACTTTTATATGTAACTTACCTTATTTAAACCATATACAGATTTGGAAACATTTTTACGGAACATAGGATTTATAATAAAATAACCCAGATCCTCTGATTTGCAATTAACCAGTGTAAATTTTAATACAACGTCGGGATGTTTTATAATTAATTCATTTGTTCGACTGGAGTCCCACTACCGCACCTTCGCAAACGATCATCTTCAAGTCAATTCATGCCACGATGCCGCCAGTGTAAGTTAAAAACGGAACACAGCCAGAGTGCATGTCAATTCAAATGTAGATATGGAATTAAAAATATTATTTACTTAAAAAAATGGTTATGTTTTATTGGCATAATAAAAAGGCATTTCAAAAATAACTTAATAATAATACCCTCCTTTTAATTTGAAATTATAAACAATATTTAGAATAATAAATGTATTGAAGTATAAATTTAATAATTCAAATAATATCTAATGAACACAAACCAAAATTGACATTAATAAAACATTATTTATTTCTGTACAAAACCGGACTTTCAGGAAAAATCGGTAGACGGAGCAACACTGTCGGCGTGTCACATACGCTACTACGAACCGCAGAGGAGAGGCAATCCAGTGGAACAAATAAATTAGTTATAAAACATCGTGACGTTATATTGAAATTTACACTGGTTAATTACAAATCAGGGAATCTTAGTTATTGTATTAAAAATCCTATGTTCCGTAAAAAAATCCAAATGTGTATGTAATAATATTAGCAAGCAAGCAACGAGCAGTGACATTTTTTTCTTGGATGTTCTATCTGTCTCTTTCTCTAGCGCATTGAAATTCACCTCTCTCTCTCACTCACTGTTCATCAATTCAGAGACTCAGCTATACTTAATTGATGTAAGACAAAGACAACAAAACAATGAAAAAAAAGGTGATGGTGTCGTCACTTTGCTCTATAGATTGCTTAGTTTTAATTAATATACTACGTCTATGATATAAACGATAACACAGGCCGACATGATTTTTGGTGTTTTGAGTTTGACATGTGTTCTTAACTAATACGGGTACGCTGATTCTGAATATGAATTCGGTTTAAGCCCATCACGTCAAAATTTTTCATAAAATTAAAAAAAACCTTGTGAGATATGTACTAGCGCAAATAAATACCTTATTGATATTTCGTAAATTATATTAAAATTATTTCTTTAAAATACTTGATAGATAGATAGAAAATATTTTATTACATTATTATGTTAATTTCATTTGAATGACAACACTGCCCATAACGTCAAAATTTTTCACAAAATTAAATAAATCTTGAGATATAATATACTAGCGCAAACAAATAGGCATCTTATTGATATTTCGTAAATCGCATTAAAATTATTTCTTTAAAATACCTAATTTAAAAAGAAAATATTTTAATACATTATGTGAATTTCATTTGAATGGCAACACTGCCGATGCTGTCAACTTGACGGAATCGGTAGTTGTGTATTGCGTAAATAGAGTTAGTTATCGTCAGTTGTTTGTAGCATCGAGTTGTATTTTGTTTTATGAGTGTTTATCGCGCCATAATGTCATCAAGAAAATGTAAAAACAATCCTGATATATTTTGTTACGTGTGTGGTGAGTTAACAATAAGAAAGCATCAACGAAACATAACAGACTTTTTAAAGGAAGCATATCACGCTTACTTCGGTGTAAAGCTTGGTGATCAGGACAAACCTTGGGCTCCACACAAAGTGTGTTTTCAGTGTGTCGAACTACTGCGAAAATGGACAAAAGGTACACGTAACTCTTTACCCTTCGGCATTCCTATGGTATGGAGGGAACCAAAAAACCATGGAGACGACTGCTACTTTTGCTCCTGCGATATCAAGGGTTTCAATTTAAAAAATAAACACAAAATTCAATATCCCCATTTAACTTCTGCTAAACGACCTGTATCCCATGGATCAGGAATCCCTATTCCTCCACCTTTTCTTCACAGCATCGAACAGCAATCATCAGATGAAATTTCAGACGAAAAAACCGATGAAGACGAATTTAATTCTGAGATAGACCAACCTCAAAAGTTTATCCAAGCTGAACTAAATGACTTAGTGAGAGACTTGGGCCTATCGAAGGATGCTGCACAAATCTTAGGATCACGACTAAAAGATAAAAATCTATTGGCTCTAGGTACCACATTTTCGTGGTATAGGCATCGTGAAAAAGAGTTCGCGGAATATTTTTCTCAAGAGGGCTCACTGGTGTATTGTCATAATATTCCTGAAGTAGTCATGAAACTGGGAGCTCACAATTACGATTCCACATCATGGCGGTTATTTATTGATTCTTCTAAGAGAAGTCTGAAAGGTGTCTTGTTGCATAATGGTAATACTTATGCCTCAGTGCCTGTTGCTCACTCCGTGCATCTTAAAGAAACATATGAGAATCTTAAGCTGTTGCTAAATAAAATAAAGTATAGCGAATATTGTTGGCAACTCTGTGGAGATCTCAAAATAATATCCATGCTTTTGGGTCAGCAGTCTGGATTCACAAAGTATCCATGTTTTTTGTGCGAGTGGGACAGTCGGGCACGAAATTTACATTACGTTAAGAAAGAGTGGCCACTCAGAGAAAAACTTATACCGGGACAAAAAAATGTGCAACGTAATACACTAGTTGATCCAAAATTAGTTCTTTTGCCTCCTCTTCACATAAAGTTAGGATTGATGAAGCAGTTTGTCAAAGCTTTAGATAAACAAGGTGACTGTTTTAAATATCTGTGCTACAAATTTCCTGCACTTTCTGAAGCTAAACTTAAAGAAGGAATTTTTGTAGGCCCTCAAATTCGAACCTTAAAATCGGACAGATTGTTCCAAAATACAATGACCCAGGATGAATCTGAAGCATGGAGTTCTTTCGTAGAAGTCATAGGCGGTTTCCTTGGTAATAACAAGTCTCCAAACTATAAAGAAATTGTAGCCAACATGGTTGAAAATTATAAAAAACTGGGATGCAATATGAGCGTCAAACTTCATTTTCTGGATTCCCATGTTGACTATTTTCCCGAAAATCTTGGAGCTGTCAGCGAGGAGCAGGGAGAGAGGTTTCACCAAGATATAAAGGAGATGGAGAGACGTTACCAAGGAAGATGGGACATAAGAATGATGGCTGATTACTGCTGGACCTTGAAGAGAGATTCGATCACAAAAATTCATAGAAAGAAGACCACAAAACGCAGTTTTCATGTAAAAAGAGAACGGTTTTATTAAAAAAACCAAATAGTCTTTAACGTAGGTTATACTGAATTCTTTTTTTTAAGAATAACTCAATTTTGAAGTTTAATTTTGTATTAAATAAAGTTTCAATAAATATTTTTTTAGTATTTTTGGCAGTTTCTATAAAAAATTTCAAATACACTTTTCTAGAAAACCTGACGTGCTGGAAAAAAACTAAGTACAGATTTGTGATCAGCACACCCCATTTACTATAGGACACCTATTAAACTTAAAACACTTTTTCATGAAAAAAAAAATGTAGGCCTGTGTAATTTGTAACCTGTCAAAAATTATCTCCCATCTTCGCTCTTCGTTAGGTTATGTTGTTTTCTCAATTTTTGCAAGCATAGCTTTCTTATCGCGGGCTACGGATGGAATGTATTGATCCATTGATCGGTGAAATGGATCTCGCAGAGCGATCAAAATAAAAACCATAGAAACGCAAATTGTGCGACCACACACTACGAATCGAATTAAGTCAAATGGAATGGAATCGAATGGGATTGAATCGATTGGAATATATGTGGAACGATAAAGATGCTTCTCCGGTCACAGACATGCTGCGATGTTCTTGCTATTGCGCTGTTCCTGCTATTGCGCTGTTCCTGCTATTGCGCTGTTGCGAAGTTATATTTTAAGTCATGAAAAAAAGTTCAACCTTAAGCATGTCCTCATCGAACTTAATATTTTTTTATCATACCCAGTTTTTTTTTTTGTTTTGTCCATGCTGTAGTAAGTACTTTCTCACTTTTTCGCGAATGGTAAGGAGCATTATCGACAACTATTATACAGTTGATTCTAAAAGGGGCAAAATATTTGCAAACCGTTTTTCAAAGCTGTTGGGAGTTCATTTCCTCGTGATAGTCACCACTTTTTTTTATTCTAACATCCATAGGCCACCTTTTACAAATTTTTATTAGCAAATATTAAATCCGGTCCTGACAAATTTGGCAACGCCTTGTTGTTTGGTGCGCTATCTCTTCTCGTTGGATAGACCCTAATTGCTCGTAAATCAGGTAAACTAGAAGAAATGTACACCACTTTCTCAAATGCCTAAAAAAATATGGTCGTACAAATAAATAAATAAAAAACCAAAATTATGGCATCAATACCCAACAACAGGTCTAGAAACATAACTCTATCTTTGAAGTGGTGGATAAATTCACAACTTATGCTCACTGACGACCAATGGAACTCCATAACAGAAGAAATCAAACCGAGAATCATTCTGGCAAGCAAATGGTACTCTGGGCTGTATAGAAAATTAGAAATTTAAGCCAGAAAACAAAAATAACAATATACAAATCCTTAGAGGAATATTCAGTGGCATCTGTGAAATTGTATTTTTGGAGGAGGAGCTATCTGAGATGTACCAGAAGAGATATCTAGTGGTAAAGACGTGATATCTCTCATAAAAATAGGAAAACCAAGATGGTCAGGACGTCCAGCAAAATCACAGCAGAATAACCCATCTAGCTAGACGAATCCTTATGCCAGAGTCGGTGGGAAGTCGACAAAGAGGTAGGTCAAAACGTATATGGAAGGATGGTGTAAATACAGATTCTAGAAAAATAGGTGCAGCAAACTGGTAACGGCTTGCAATGGATAGGTCTCACTGGCGAAATAGTCTTGGGGAGGTCAAGGCTATACTCGAGCACATATGATGATGATATTAGAGCAAATATGATTTGAGATTTTGTAAACAGATCTCAAAAACATACATTAGAACGTCGTGATCATTAGGATCATTTTAAAGGTGAATATTATGGGGAAATGCTTGTCTATTATGGAGGTTTGACTATATTTCCCTTGGACTGATTTTTAGATCTTTAACGTTATTTATTTTTATTCTCATTTTAAGTTATTTATAATATTATCCTTTCTTTTTGTTGCAGTTGTTCTTGGAAGTGCGAACGTCTTGGGCGGAAATAGACAGCATAGACTATAGTTTTAGAACAAAAAATTCAGTGCATTCACAGTGATTCAAGAATTGAATGATTAATTATAAGTCGTAATTTAAATCAAAATGTGTATATTTGATGAGAGTTTATATGAATAATAATATTAAATTGTAATTAATTAGTAATAGCGATCGATATTCATAATATTTGAATAAGTACGTAATCTGTTTTTTATGGTTATTTACCATGGCATGCTGTGCATTTTTTATTTCAGTGCTCTAACGTTTTTTAAAAAGTGATATTGTATTATTTGTTAATTTTTATTTTGTAAATTTCAGCATTGGTTATTTATAACGAGCACACAAACTCATTAATAAATGAATATTATCATTTGTAAATTATTTTTTCGAAAGTATAGGCCAGTTCCCAGATCATTTCTTCGTACTCGCAATTTTATACATTGTTAATAAGAATTTTTTTAAAACCGTCACGCTGTGTTCCTATTTTGATTTGTTGCAAAATATATTTTAGATAAAAAAATAGAAATGCTTTTGAATTATATATTGTGTATTAAAATATATTCATAAATAATAGTTTAAATTGATAAATATATAATAAATATTCAACATATCAACAACAAAGATCATAAGAACTTATAGCCCAATTTCTTCTCGTAGTTTCAGGTTATTTTTGTACTTGTTGCATTTTTAGACATCTAAAGTCATAAATTCTACCAAACTTTGTTTTAAAATTCTGCTTTTGGTTGAAATATCGAATGTGCTGTTAAATTGTAAGATAACATTTCATTCAGAAACATAATTTTGGAAAATACATCTTTCCCTTAATTCATTTATCCCCTTTTCCCTTCATTATCTAATTATAATGACATTAGATTCAAATATTCGCCCTTTTAAGGATGAGTGGCGGCGCGTAGTGTCTTGTCTTCGAACTACATTAAAGACAAAACAACGCAACAACAGTGTTTAAATTTTTCAACGAGCGAAAAATGCATTCGCTTAACATGCGATAAGTCGATTATAAAATGAAATATAAATTAAAATAAAAGTTGATATTGTATTAAATGTAATAATTGTATTAAATATAAAAGTTGATTATACAATGAAGGCGAACGATAAAATATGTTTGTAATTTTACAGATTTCTAATTGTTGCATTCTTTTAACTTTAATGTAGTTCATAGACAACTCAACGTGCACCGCCACTCATCCTTAACAGAGTGAATAAAGCAGGTCAAGGTCTAGTGTTTTAGCTTTGATTTTTCAATCTTTTTACAACTATCAACCTCTTCAATGCTAGTTGTTAAGTGTCTTTGAACGTTTTTATCTTTGTACAGACATTGCTGTATTAATCAGCACGTGCGGAGACCTTTGAAGCCTAGTTTTGAAGAACATTTGTAGTTATAAAATTAATTAAAAAAGAAATCGATGAATGATTTTGCACATTGTCAAAATTGCTCTAGGTTTATAAGTCAAAAAAACTGCTGTGTTTTTTTAGTTTTCTCGAAGACTAATCCCGAAAAATCTGGTTCCACATTTTTCCACAAATAACTTTTGAACCCGAATCCATCATAGACTTTTCTATATCTGTTACAGTTTTCTTCTTCCTCTTTATAAGCAATTTTGCTTGTTCATTGGCAGATTAATACCTCTATGGAAGGTTGTCATTCCATCTTTTGCGCGGTCGTCCGATACTTCTTCTGCCGATTGTTGACTGTTCTCTTGCTATTTGGATGGCACGGGTCTCCTCCATTCTGCTTATGTGGTTATTCCATTTTTTTTTCTATTTTGTGTCCATTTTTGTGTAAATTTTTTTCTAATGTCTTCAATTCTCTTTCGATCTCTTCAATTCTTCTCAGTACTCAAATCTCTGCAGTTTCCAGTAGCATTGGCCTCGTGGCTGTGTCTGGTCTTGTTTCTGAGGCATATGCCATTATTGGTCTTACACTGGCTTTATGGATTCTTGACTTCATCTCAGTGTTAATGTGTCTGTTTCGCCATATAGTGTTATTAAGGCATCTTGCCAGTCAATTTGTTTTTTGAACTTAATCTCTCACTTCTTTGTCCAGGTCTCCATAGCTAGACAGTGTAATTACCAGGTATTTTGTTACAGTTTTGACTGCAATAATTAATATTCAGGCGAACAACACATATTGCACAAAGAAAATAATAAAAAATTTTATTTCAATTGAACTGAAATACTACTGTATATAAAGGGCTAAATCATTTCAATAGGCAAGGTATGTCGTTTTCCAAATGAAGATTGACAAACGGAGATGCGGATTTTCACTTCTGAACCAGCCATTTATGAACAGTTGATTTTCTATTGTATATTCTTAAGCTCTTCAAATAAGATGTTCTTCTGCCTATAATCCAACGTAGTCTAACTTTTTTTATATAATAAATTGTTATGTGAACATAAATCAGATTGACCCTCCGCTTTTTTTTTAAATATTTAACATATAAATCTTAACAGAAGAACTAAGTGTCTAATTGTTCAGAATGGTGACATCATCATAATGACGGATTGTTGCCTAATACCTCGCAGAGGCGCCACTGAATGGATGCCGAGCTTCAGTGTTTCGTAAGTGCGAGAAGTTTCCTAACTGGAGGCGAAAAATAAATGGTTTTTGCTCTAAATGTACAAAGCATACTTAGCCTAGTATACCCATACATTTATTGGTCCCACGGAACAAGGTAAAGATCTTTACAGCAATTTGTAAGATAATAGTATGAAGTCATGAAGTATATTTTTGAACTTTATTCCTCAGAGCAGTCATCACGTTTTGATTGACATATTTTGAAATGATATCTTAGCTGACAGCTGTAAATAAGTAAAGCAGAAGCCAATTAGTTGTACTCTCTTACAATCTTAGTTGTACTCTTTTTGAGTAGTTCGACACTTAAAGCTTTTGATCCACCAGTTTTATTCGCTTGCACCTATCCTGTTGTTCTAAGTTAATATGACCAATTGATTATTTTCGCATGTATATAATCCAGTCTGACTTTTTTAGATCATTACACAGATATCGCTCAGAAAAGTTACTAATTTATAGCCTGGATATAGGCACAGTTACCTATTGCTTCCTAAAAATTCTTGAGATTGTTTGCAGTCTGGTTTGTTAAGATGGCGCTACAGCCCAAATGAGTCTGAATTCCTATAATTTCTGCCTCCAACTTTAGCAATTTTGCGTCGTTTTCCTCACAAGTTCTGACTCCAGTTTCTGTCTCTTTTTTGATGTCCTGCTCCGTATTTTACTATATACAGCTCTTCTTGGTAATACGTCATCATCATTAACAAGTGATCTTGTTATATTGAAAGAAGAAAATGTACTTTGAACCAAGTGTAAAAATCAAATTCGTGTTTAATATTAGCCGACATATTCATGATTAATTCTTCGATATCTTTAAATTGCCAACCAAAGCACCAGATTTGATTTTTAGTATGTTTTAGAAACTGGTATGTTGTTTAATATTTCTTTCAGCATATAATACTGCAAGAAATTAAAGGCATGTAATCTAGTGATGCTGTAGGTTTTATTGATATTGCATCCTAAATACAAAAAGAACTGATACAGAATGTATCTGTTTATTTATGTCTCATTGGCTCTTGTTCATTGATCCCCACCGAAAGTGGAACCTTTCCTGAAATACTGACTTTTCAAATTTTATTGAATCGCGAGTAGAAACCTCTTCTGTCGCCATAGTTATTTGAATTTTGCTACAGCTGCACGAAATACTTGATTGATTTGAGCTGCAGTTAAACCACTATCTTTAAGTTTCGCAGCCATGACATTTTTCTTCTTCTTTACTTCCCTCTTCGCCACAATCTTTCTTTAGGTAATATTCGGCAGAAGTCAGCATTTATCTGTTTCAAAACATGTCCGAATGTTGCACATTCGATGCTCTGCAAGTATGTGCTGGTGTGGACTCAAATACTTCACTTCGTAGGTACTTCGAATGATAGTTGGGTTGATACAATTACCGTGCTCTTGTCTTATTTTTCCAAAAAAAAATTCCGAAGCATCTTGATTCAATCTTCTAGACAGAAGATACGACTTTTGATAGTAATTCTTCTAAATCTAAGTGCTTCTAAATTTAATTTTTATCCACGCAGGATACTCTCAATATTCTTCTAGATGTCAATATTTTGAATACTACTGTCTTATTGCAACAATACTTATCGATTGATCATGTTTTAGGATGGAATGTATGTAACATTATGATTATGATGGAACAAAATAAAATCTCCCGCTAAGATAAAACTAAAGAAGTAAGTAATACTTTGGTTAATTAAGCTTGCTTTTAATTCAGATAGCAGGTCACTACTCCAGAATTTGTTAAAGAAGCTGTTTCAATGCTGTTTTATGCTTAATTTTTTCAGTACATCGTATGTCATGAGTAATTGGGATTAATTCCAGGAGGCTAAACTGATGGCTGGACAATTCTTTTGAAAAGCAATCTTATAAAGTAATTTTGCTGGTAAAAATCAGCTGAATTAAACTAATTATCTTTCGCGGGATCAAGTTTAATGTTCTTAAAACGTTTTGGTTCGTTGTCTTGTAATATCAGTCCTCTATTACTCTCTCATCATAGCAATTCTCAGTTTATTTAATGTTGCGAGTCAAAATCCACTTAACATTTCTCTATGACCCACCATTTTTATGTTAAACATCTATTGGAGCTCCTTGGATATTAGACTGACTCTGATGGAAAATGGCATAACTCTATTGTGCCATCATGTCGTCTCCGCCTGAAAGGAGAGCGAATAAAAACGCGTCAAGTACACAACATGCCATCATGATGACAATATATTTACTGGGTGTGCCTCTCTATTCAACTAAATAATATTGCGACGATGTTTCACATCTACCGGATATCCCACAACGGCCGCAATAATTGTTTTAGTTATTTTGTATGTCTTCATGTGTCTGGTTACTGATAATACAATGCAGTCTTGAATGAAAATAAACTAGAGTTTATATTTTTTGTAACTAAAATGTGGTTAAGACAAAGCATGGTTTCTAAATGTAGCTACCAATTGCTGTCTTGATGGGCTTTTTAATGAACTTGATAAAGACAATTTTATTTTATGTATTTAGCTGCAGTTTTCGTAAATATACGAAAGCATTATTCTCTCTTCGTCAGTTCTGTATTATCACCTGGTGAAAATAGATTTCCTTGGTTATTTAATGTATTCCTATCTCGTTTGTGGTTACCATGTCTTCCCAAAAAATTAATCATATGAAAGCACCTTGTCCGTACACATTTTAAAGTATGTATGACTTAAAATTGTATTGCCAGTATTATTGAACTTTGCTACAACTTTATTTGAGGATATGAGGACATTAGATATTACTAAGTTTATATCAAG